TTGTAAAGCACACACGTGTGTGTGTGCGTCATCGTTGTTAATGTTTACCTTTGGGCCATCATCATCATCATCATTTTTTTTTTGTTGAACAACATTTCGATCACAATATTTTTTTTTATAGACCATATATAATATTTGCAAAGTGAAAATTAATCTCGCTCTCTCTCCCTCTCATCTGGTGATGTATGATTTGCTTGTCTATTCGTCGTTCGATCAATTGATGATTGACATAAAAAATATTCCCATTATGCCTACGGCGGCCATTTACCCAAGCAATGATGATGATGTGATTCACACATTGAGAATAAAACCACGTTTTTTGTTGTTGATGGTCGTTACAGGTTTATGTTTCACGTGAAATGATATTGTTATTGGCCAAAAAATGCTATTCATAATTCTATTTGCATTTAATATTGAATTCTTTCTTTTTTTTGGATTTATTATCATCATCAATTGATCATCATCATGAATTGATCGCCTCGAGTGCCATATATCTGAAATACTACTACATTGTGAATTGATTTTGAACCGGAAATCCTTGCAAAAATATTATTCAATCAAAATGGAACGATTTTTTTTGCCATTCATACGTATCAATTGAAATCCATCACCACAAATCAGCCAATTTGATGTTTCTATTTGATCAGTGCTGAAAATTGTAAAAGAAAAGAAATCAGAAACAAAACGTGTCAAGTAACAATGTAAAAACGAACCTTTTATTATTATCATTATTATTATTCCAATGATCGATAAACAAACGACAAAATGATGAAACATCAGCAATGGATATTAATTGTCGATCAATCGATATAATTGAATCGATCGTTTTGTTTGATTCAATGATTTTTGTATTTGGAATTTTATCACCATCATCATCATCATTATCGGCAATATGTATACGCCAGCAAATCATTTGTTGATCGATCGAAATGCTTATCAAATTGCGATAATCATTTTCATTTGTAAACTTTACATCTAATAGAATATATATATAAAAAATGTATATAAGCAAAGAATGAATGAATAAGCATAAAATAAAATGACAAATAAATCGATCGATTGATTGATTGAGCAAATAAATTAATCAAAACACAAATAGACCCTGCTTAGTAGTATAATGACAAAACAAACCTGTTATTTGACATGTATGGCCTGAGATCTGTTGGCTGAATGATCGTAAAAAATTTAATCTAACTTGCTGCTGCTGACGATTGCTACTTTGATTAACGACATCAACAAAATAAACATTAATCAATGTTATGATCATTCGATTATCATCACCACCGGTTGCAATCATTAAAATTTCTATTTAAAAATAAAAATACAAAACGATTAATTAATTAACGAAGAATATGAAAAACAACTTACCATTATTAATTAACATCCAATCAAATGCACAGATACTGGATCGATGAATTTGTCGTGATAATAAACGATGATAATCATCATCATCATCATTATTATTATTTTTTTTGTTGATTGAATATTGATTGATTGAATTGATTGAACATAAATGAATATAACCATCGTTTGTTGTAACCGCAGTAATATTGCTGTCATCTAGTGGTGATGATGAAAGGTAATCGTTTCGAAGTAAAATTCGACATTTCAACAGACAAGAATTGCCCCATTGAATTTTATGTTGAATTTCAATTTTATTTCGATATTCACAATAATTGAATATCCGAAATGAAGCATCAGAACAGGCAACAACTATTTGGAATTGAACATTATCTGGATTTTCATCTGATTTGAGTCGTATGAAATCAACGTCCATATAACGGACATCTAATTCAAGAAGTTTATCATCATTATCAGTTTTGCGAATTTTAGTTTCAAATTCTAACTGTTTATTGAAAAGACCGAGAAAATTCACAGATTTTTCTTCACAAATTAATCGTTGATGATCATCATCATGCCAAAATCGCCATATAATCATTTGTGATCGACTACCAACCGAAATAGCATATGTCATATTATTTATCGTATCGTTGTTTGACAAACATCTGATGGCATTCACTGTAGCAATATGAGCATGTAAAACTTCAATAAGATTGAAGTGATTTTCTTTTTTACTTTTTTCATAACCAATCACTTGAATTGATCGATCTTCACCGGCAATCATAAAATAAACTGATTGATCGATAATCATTTGTGTACAGCAATTAATCTTTCGTGGTATTGAAGAGAAACACAATTTGGATTTCGATAGTGGTGAATGATGACAAATACGGCCAACCTGTTTCATCGTATTCGATTTACTGAAGCTAAATTCAATTCGTATTAATCCGTCTTCATCATCATCGAATGGTTCAATGAAAACGTCGAATGATCGATGACCCCCACCACAATCTTCTTCAAACAAAACGGTTTGATCGTTGTCAATATTCCAGACGATAAATTTACGCCAATTAAATCCGTAAACAAAACTTGGCCTCTCTGTTCGGCTATCGAATTCAAATCCACAAATCCATTCAACATCATAAAATGATGCATACGTTCGTAGTTTACGAAAATCGACAACTTTATCACCGAAATCATTTTCAATCATTATATATTCAATGATGCGTCCATTTCGACCACTAGAATAAACAAATCGAGATTTTGACTGTCGTCTAATACAGGTCACACCATTTTGACCATGAATATGCCATAATTTTTGGAATGGTTCCGATTCATCAGACCAATATGATAAAATGTTACCCGAATAATCACCAATGATGAATAGATTTTTGTATAAAAGTCCACATGAACACCATTGGTGTTTACTGTTAGGTAATCGATAATCTTGTTGGCCAATGTTTAATCTGCAATTGCAATTTTCATCATCATAAATCTGAACAATTTTCACTAAACCATCAAGTAAACAGATCATTAATCGATCATCATCATCGATAAAACTAATATCAATTATTTTCTTTTCGAACATTTTTTCCAGATAGACTAGTTTGACAACCATTGAATTGGGAATCATTCTGATCACACCTAAATGACCGAATATCGAACCGATCACAACCATATTTCTGCTATGATTGGCTGCCATTTTTATATAATTACCAAAAATTTCATCAAGATTATATTCTTGATGCTGATCAATAGAGATGGTAGAGATGACATCATTATTATCACAGATAAAAATTTCACCTTTAACACAAGCAGTTAAAGTATGTAAAGTGTTTGATATGTTTGATCGTAAAAATGATATAGCTTTCACAGAGGATAATTTTCGGCTCCATTCGAATGTTTTGAATCGATTTAATTGCAAAATATCTTCAATACATGTGAATTGTATGGAACCATCACTACCACCACAAATAATTTGATCATCGGTTGTACATAGGCTCCAGATTCGGTTATTTCGTGCGAAACGTTTCCGTCTTAACATTCCAAATGGTTCGTGTAATGACCATATGATTAATGATGAATCTTCGCCAACGGATATACACATGGAAGAATCTGTTATGGTGTTAGTGGCGGCTACAATCATTACACGCCATATACGAGCTTCATGTCCATAATATGTATGTGTCAATTGAAATCGATTCATTTTCCATATAGATAGACGATTCTTTGATTGTGATTGAAAATTACAAGAATTACTCCATACGCGAATACTTCGATCATCCGAAGCGGTAACTAGAATGTTAAGCTTCGAATTATAATCGATGGAAAAAATAACACCATCATGGCCATGTAATGTTTGTAGCTCTTGCACTAATGGTTTCTCATCCGATTTTGAATCATCTGTTTGAAACACAATGGACCATATTAAAATCTGAGTGAATACCGTTCCAGATGCTATGATTATATAATTTTCATTCAATGACGATTCAAGAATTTTTGCCGAATAAAGAATACATTTTTGTGGACCAAAAATATGGTGATTAAAATATTGTTTGCTGTTGTTGCATTGGTTTTGTTTAAGATTTCGTTGTATGACCACTTCATTTCGTGCATTTATCATAATTATCGATTCATTATTGGTCGTATCGTTGATTAAATCAAGTATCATATATTGATTAATATATTTTGCATTGATAATAAATTCTAAATTATTTACATCGTTCATTTCAAAATGTATTGAACAATAATAAATGTAATGAATTGAATAAATAATAAGTTGATGTTCAATTTTCGTTTGATCATTGCGATCAATAATATCCGTATTGATGAATCTAATACCAATTATATTCTGTTTCATCTTGAATGAAATTGAACGAATAAAATGGAATATATGTTTATCATTACGATACCAGATAAATACAAACGAACCGATACCTAATATAATAAAAATAAAAATAAAATTCAATAAATTATCATATTTCAAAAGTTCAATGATCGAATAAAAATGAAAATAATAATGAAAACAAACCAGCCAATAAAAATGGATCATTGAATGTTAAACATCGAACATGGCTTTTGATCGTTGACATGATAGTATATATCGATTGTTAATAAACTAAATCAAACTGGATTGGTCCCGTAATTTTATTTATCATATAAACAATCAAAAAATAAATAAATAAAGCCAACAAGGGAAATTTGATTCTAAATTGATCCACGTGATTCGTGTTTTGGATGGAAAAAACTTTCCGATAAAATTAACCAACAACATTTCAATGATTACCAAAGAAATGTTTATGGGAAAATCTAGCCGAATTTTATTTCATTTTTTCAAACGTTCTAAATCAATTTTTTCTTTTAATTTTTCTCCGTATCCTTGATCTCAATTTTTTTTTACCATTGATCTCTAATGGAATAAGATAACTCTTTCTTATAAATCGTTTAATTTTATTTCAAATCAATGGATATGAAATTGTGAATTTTGTTTTTTTTTCGTTTTCTGTGAATCTCAACTTTAGCGTACAATTAGGTGAACATCCAAACAAAAAACAAACGTCGAGAACGCAAAAAAAATGAAGACGAATCCAAAGTCCACAATAAGGATTTACGCTTGGTAACTAAACAGAAAAAGTTTCTTGGAGAGAAAAAACGAAAAATTTAACGATATTATGCTTTATTTAATCAATCAAGAAAAAACCGATGATGGTCGTGTGAAATATGTAGCAGTGTTGGTGGTGTTTTTTTACAAAATTAAAAAAAACTATTGTCATTAAAATTAACGAAAGAAATTATTATCTAGCTAGGATCGCTGTGGAAAACATTGAAATTTCAATGATGCTGAATTGATACAGAAACGTTTACCGGTTGGTTTTGGACCATTTTCAAATAGATGACCTAAATGTGCATCACATCTTGCACAGGTAATTTCTGTACGTATACGTGGTGCTTTCTTATAATCCGGTTTAAAACAAAGTTTATTCATATCTAATGAATCGAAAAATGCCGGCCAACCACAACCAGAATCATATTTGGTTTCCGATGTAAATAATTGTTGTTCACATACAATACAGGAATATATTCCACCTTCATCGAAATTATTATATTTACCTGTAAATGGTCTATTTTGATTGATAGATTAAAAAAGAAAGATTAAATTAATAAAACAATTAATAATAATTTGAAAAACACAACTTACTCTTCGGTATTTCCATTTTGTGTTACATTATACTGTAAGGTTGTAAGACGTTGTTTAAGATTTTCACGATCAACGACAAAACTTGTAGCCATTTTTTCTTTTCTTCTTTTTTTTCTTGTTCTCGACAAAGATGCTGAATTTCTATGAATTCAAATTGAATTGATCAAAAAACTATTCAAACCATTGGCTTTTTATATTCATCATCATCATCATCATCATCATCATCATCATCATCAATTTGAAAATTTCATTCGAACTTATCATATTCGGTGACGAATGTGTGCCCAAAAAAAAATCCTATTTATTTGGTTATGTACAATGTGTGCCGGTCAATGTGTGTTTGACGATATATAGTATAATATATTTGGTTTTGATTTTGATTTTGTCACACACCATACATATTTCCACATATAATCATATCATTATACAAAATATATATCGATATATCGGTCGTTTATTTGTGATGGTGTGATTTATGATAACCGAAAAAAAGAAAGAAAGAAAGAAACAAACAAAACATCGTCATCATTTTAAATTTCTGATGAAATCCAATCAATTGATTTCACTATTTTTTCTTGTTAGCAAAAGACTAATATTTTTGGTTCGTGCAAATTATACGCTATAATAATCAATGGATTTGAAAAAAAAACAAAAGAAAATTAAAAATTAATTTTTCTCTTTATTTGACAAAATATAAAGAAAAAGTTTTTTAAAAATGTTGTTTTTGAATGTTTTTTATTAGATCAAAATCAAAATACGGGATTGGTTGTTGTTAGTTCAATAAACAAAAATGTTTTAATCAAAAAGACCGAAACCCATATCATCATCTTCTTCGGATTCTGGTTCGGCTTCTTTTTCCTTTTTCTTATCTTTAGCATCATCAGCTGCGGCTCCATCACCTCCTGCAGCAGCGGCAGATACGGCACCACCAACACCAGCAGCTGCCGGTGCACCACCAACACCCGATCCAACATTTGTAATCAAACCTTTGACATCGATATTTTCCAATGCTTTGGCGAATAAACCGGGCCAATATGGTTCAACATCAACGTTGGCTGTTTTCAAAATTGTTTGGATTTTTTCCGAAGTGATAGCCACATCATCATCCTGAAGGATCAATGAAGCATATACACAAGCAAGTTCGTTGATAGACATTTTTCGGTTGTCGATTTGAAATTTTTAAAGATGAAATCAAAAAAATATTTTTTCAAATGTGGATTCGTGTGTAAAGTTGCAAAAAAAAAAAAAATTTTTTGCCTTAGCTCAGAAATGATAATTTTTTCGGAGATTTGAGAACAATACAACTGAAAAACCACGTGTGTGTTTTCGTCAATGAGTGAATGAGTGAGTGAGTGAGTGAGTGAAAGAAGCGAGCAAACAACGGAAGAGGAAAATATACACAGAAAAAACGTCGCTCAATTGAGTATGCAATAATTTACGCATGTGCATACTTGTAACTAATTTTAAAAAGGATAGATGGCAGTATATTAGTTTTGAATTAAAAGTTTGGCGCAAAATTTTTCGCATTTCAAATTTTATCAATTTTTTTTTCTTTTAAAAAAATGATGATTTTTATTTCATAATCAAATTTTCAAATATATAATTTCAATATTTATGGTAAAAATATAATTTTTATGCAATCAAAAAAAAAGTGAAATGAAAAAAATGATGATGATGATGATGATGAAGACGATGATGAGATTAGTTCAGAATATCAAAAAGAAAAATATGAATGAATAAATCATAGAAAAAAAATGAGAAGTGAGAGTGGAAAAAAATTCAAATTGAATATTAAGTAGATGATGATTTATATATTTTGAGCGTTTATCATGAATGACATAATAATTGAAATTTTGGAAAGGTAAAAAAAAGCAAATTGTCGTTTTTTTTTGGTTGTAGAATTTGAGATGAAAAAAATCAAAGAAGTTCTGTTGACAGTTGTGTTTGTCGTGTAGTGTATGTTAGTTTGAAACAATATGGTTTAATAAGGATTTCATGTTTGTTTCGTGTTGGTGTTGTGTATTTGAGTGTGGAAAAAAAAATCAATAAATTTCATTTGAATTAATTTATCCAGCAATTGGAGAAAAAAGTTTAAATAATAAATATCAAAAGAATTAGAAATTGAATTGGAAAAAAATGTTCCACAAAAAAACGATGAATAAAAATGTGAGAAAAGAATGAACAAGAATGAAAAAAAATGGATGGAAGGTATAACCTTCATGACTTTTCCTTGTGAGACATACACACACACACACAATTGACAAAGATGTTGATGATGATGATGATGATGATGATCAAAATTGGAAAAAAAAATCGAATGGATGAGCAATGTAAATTGTTTGTTTGAGATTTGAAAAAAAAATCATCTGATATGATTAATGTAAAAAAATGATGAAAAAAAAATCTTCAAAGTTTTTGTCATTGTTCCACTTCTAATAGTATTGTTGTTGTTGATTATTATGTACACATCTTGATTTTGATTTTTTTTTGAAGATGAAAAGAATTTTTTTAAGGAAAAAAAATTTGAGAATTTGAAAATATCAATAGAATAAAAAAAAATTGTGTGTTTGTGTATATATGTAAATGGTGTATATATTATGGTTATAAATGTGTAAAATTGACTAATTATAATGATTGTGTGATTGCAATTCAATATGGAAGAAATGTTGAAAATTTCTGGAATTAACATTCTGGATAAATATTGTTTCGTTTTGTTTTGTTGTTGTTTTTTTTCTGGTTTTTTTTTCGTCAAAATTTTGAATTAAATCATCTGATCAATTGATTTTAATTGATTCAAAATGAAATTGATTAAAAAATTAACAAAAGAAAAAAACACCGTTTAGTTGAGCCTAAAAGGAAACAGAGAGAGAGAGAGAAAAAAAATTTCAAGATGTATGGCGATCATCATCATAATCATGATCACCACTTATTAATAGCTGGCCATCATTATTATTATTTGTTTGTTTATTATCTTCATCACCATTATTATTATTATTATCTGTTAAATGTTTAGCCGATTTTTCAGATTTAGCTAAAAATGGATGATGAAATGATAGATGATTATGATGATTAAAACCTTGAAATCCCATCAATTCTGGTTGTACATTATTATTATTATTATTATTGAATTGAATCAATTGATCAGTTATTAATGGTGAACTATTCTGATGATTATGATTATGATGATTATTATTATCGGAATCGAAATTTTCATCCAAATTTTCATCCATTATTGTTGATCGATATCCAATATTGCTACTATCAATACTACTGCTACTACTGCCACCGATATTACTATTACCACGATATGTACCACCACGAATTAATTCAAAATTTCGACTACCCATTGATGGCATTTTTGATCGTTTCATCGATGATTGTGATGATTTTATTTGACGCCATGAATCATGTGATACTTTTGGTATTGTATCCAAATGTGTTAGGAATTCTGTTTCCGGTTGATCATTATCACCATCAGTATTATTTTTATCATTATTAGTAATTGATGTTACGTTGTTGTTGTTATGATCAAAATCATCGATTGTTAAATTATCTCTTTGATCATCAAGATTACCGATATCATCATCATCATTATTATTGATATTTGCATCACGTTTATGTAGACGATATTTTCTGATCGTATCATGATCGATCAATTCATAGAGATCAATTTGACGTCTTTTACGATGTAGTCCCATTCGTTTACGTTCATCACCTGATGTATTATTACGGAAACGTTTAAATACATTCACTGGATTTAGATAACTAATAAATTTTTTGAATTTTGATGGTTCTTCCTCTTCTTCATCTTTGAGTAGATCAGATAGATTGATACCACCAGGCAATGTTTGTCCAGCCAATGCTGAACTAACCTGATCATTTGTTGATGAACCAGATGATGATCCAGATGACGAGCCAGATGATGAACCTGATGATGATGAAGCGGCTGATTGTTGAACCATACCTGGATGTTGACCACCCGGATAAGCACCGTATGCACCATAAGCAGCTAAACCTAATGGTGGATATGCGGCACCATAACCGGCCATAGGCATCATCATTGGTAATGCCATTGCTGATTGAGCAGTTGCTGCATAATTCATATCTGCTGCTGGATTACGAATATAAGGAGAAGCACTATAACCACCATATGCACTTGTACCATAACCACCAGTATAACCATATGGCATATATAATGGTGATGACATACTACTCATTGCTGCATACATTCCACCAAGACCGGACATTCCGCCTAAACCGGATAGGCTACTATATCCGGTTGGATATGACATTGATGGATAAGAATTACTTGCCATAGTATGATAATTTCCATGTCCGTATTTTGCCGATTGATATGATGGCATATAATCATTTGTACTACTGGCATCAGTTGTTTGTCGTCGTTCACGTCGTTGTCGTAATCGCCGTAACATATTCAATGGATTTAATTTACTCAATAAACTTCGTACTGGTTTTGATTCGGACATTTTTTGATCCTGAATTTTTTTGCCATCTTTATTCTTATCTTTTTGGTTACCGCCATTCGATGATGATTGTGATTGTGATATAGGACGTATGATTGGTAGGCCATTCGGTGGTCGTGATATCATATTTGGTAGATTTGCAGCGCCAGCCGGTATTGTTATATAGCCAACATGTTTATAACCTGGTGGTGCCGGTAACTGTCCTCCTTCCGGTGCTGGTTGAAATCCAGCTATACCGTTTATTGGATTCATACTATTACCAACACCGTTATTATCACCAACACCATTATTCATTGATGGTGACATATCGGAGAATGAACCAAAATCAGCTGGACTAAGATTGGAGAATTCATTCATAATAGCATTCTTTATATAGCTAGAACCACCATCATTTGATGATAATGAACTCATTAGATTATGCATATCATTATCATTTCCTTGATGATCATTCGTTGAATGAAAATCAGTTGTTGTCGTATGATGATGATGAGGATGATGATGATGATGACTAATCGATGGTGGATACATTTGATGATTATCTTCAGTACTATACATCGAATAAGGCTGTGATGATGATGAAGATGATGGTGATGATTTTGTATAATGACCACCACCAATATCTGAATCGGAAGAAATCATTGGACTATCATTCGATGATGTCATTACATCATCACCGACACCATTTGTAGCCATATATTTAGATATTCCAACATTACTGACACCACTACCATCTTGATTGATTGATGGATATGATGTTTTTAAAAAATGATGGCCACCACCACCAATCGTTTCAGGTCTTTCATTTGATGATGAAGAAGATTCTTCAAAAAAATTATCCATACCATTTAAATTACTATAACCGGCAGCAAATTCTTTAAATAATTCATCAGCATTTTTTGCCTGTAATTCAGATGCTGATGGTTGTATCTGTGAATGATGTGAATGTGGATGATGTGAATGATATAATGATTGATCACCATTATTATTATTAACACTATTACTGCCATCATGATATACAGGATTAATGCTATTCATATCCGAAGTTTGATCCTATTTTTTTTGTTGAAAAATGAGAAAAATAGAAAAAAAACCAGATTTAAAAAAGAAAAATTGGTGCCATTAGTAAATGAACCGTAATAATATTCATCACTATAATATAAGGTGTGTATGTTTATATATATATGTTATGTAATAATATTACATTCAAATGAATACATTGCATGCATGCATGAACCTGAAACCCAATGACTAACATAATAACAATAACAACAACAGAAACAAAATTTCGTGATTCAAGAAATTTTTTAGAAAGATAAAGAGAGAGAGAGAATAGAAACCGATATAATATTTGATTCATTTCAATCAAATAACAACAGGCTGAACTAACTATATATGAATCTCTTTTTTCTTTTTTTTTCAAATGATGACTACTAAAAATAGATACAACAAACGGTTTTTTTTCTGTATGGCCATTAACATTTATTTTCAAAATTCCTCTTCTTCTTCTTCTTCGTTTGTTGTTATTTTCACACACACACACACACACATTCCGTTCGATCTATTTAGTTTAGTTAAAGTTTTAGTTTAATTTCCATTACATTTCATTTTCTATTTGTTGTTGTTGTTGTCGTTGCTGTTCATTACCGATTAATTATATAATCTCTAAGAATTAACAATCAAGATTGTCCTTGTGTGTATGTGTTAAATGAATAAATCAAGATTCTTCAATTTAAATTATCCAAGACCATTTTCTTTCTCTTAAAATCTTGATCTGTATGCGTGAATGTCTGTATGTCATCTCTCTCTCTCTCTCTCTCTCTCTCTCTCTCTCTCTCTCTCTAACTTCTTATTCGATTTTTTTTTTCGTTGTTATAAATTTCATTCATTCATTTTTTTTATCTTGTTCAATTTAATTCATGAATGAATGAATGAATGAATAGAAAAATGTGTGTGTGTGTGTGTGTGTGTGTGTGTGTATATATGCATGAAAAAAAGAAAAGAAAAACAATTAAAACCTGTTGTTGATATGGATGATTATTATGATGAATTTGATGATGATGATGTTGGTGTTGATTATCATTATAATCATGATGATGATGATGATGATGATGATTTAAATGAAGAGGATTATGTTGTTGTTGTAAAAGATTATTGGCATTTCTTTCATTATTGTTTGACGAAGAGGTGGATATTATTGTTGGTTTGGCAATCGGTATAAATCCCGATGATGTTGATTGTAATTGTGATGATGGTGATGATGGTAAAATAGTTTTAATATGATGATGTTGATGATTATTATTATCCTTCTGGCTATTGATGTTGGCTACCTGTTGTTGTTGATCCATTATCATCATATTATTATTATTATTAATGCTACTACTACTACTACTACCACCTTCGCCATTATTATTATTAATATTAATACCGGTTGTTGTTGTTGGTGGTGAATGATTATGTTGTTGTTGATGCGAATGTAGATAACCTACATTATATTATTATTATTATTATGGTTATTTTACAGGTAGCAAAAAAAAAAATATATAAAGAAATGAAAAAAAAAATATTCATTATTCGTTCATCATTATTATCATTTCATATATTATATTATATATTTCTTTTGCTATTTGTGTGTGTGTGTGTGTATGTGTGAATGAAATAAGAGAGAAAAAAAAGGTTACTCTTGATTTGAGAAATATGCATACACACACACACACATAATATACATTCACAGATTAGATAATGTAGATTTAGATAGATAGTGAATGAGTGTGTTAGATAGATAGATAGATAGATAGATAGTTAATTGAGTGAACAATAATAATGATAATCTATTGAAGAAAATAAAAAAAAAAAAATACAAAAAGATTTAACCCTATTTTTGACTTTTCTCATTGTCATTATACTATTCCCTATATTTTAGTGAAAATTAGACACACATAAAAAAAATGTGAACACTATGATGATAATGATGATCATTGGAAAAAAAACAACTTATCTCAAATCTATCTATCCCAACATCTATGTTAATCTTGATGAATTTTTTTTTCTGGTTATTATTTTGTCATATTGAAATTGCTCTAAATAATAATAATGTACTATACCAGTAACCAGTTATGTGCACTTTTTATTTCTGATAGCTTTGTTAACACTTAGAATGTCGCATTGAGAAAGTAATTTGATGATAAAATGATCGTCATCGAATGGATAATTATTTAATTGATTAATTACCAAATCATTTGGATGATATGAATAAATACTTTTTGGTGAATTTTCTTATTTATTCGAAAATTGATGCCGACATTTTTTTTCTCGACAAAAATAACTATTTTTTTTTTGTTTGTCAAATTTAAACAACAATTTTTGGCTGGTTGAGTTGTTGTTGAAATCCTTCTTAACCCAAAATGATGACCACAATCATCATCATCATCATCAATGACCTACTCTTTGAATATGAATGACCATTCGAATTTGTATTTGATCAAATAAATGTTCAATACATACATTCATCATATAGACATCACATCAATAGATGTTCGTTTTTTTCTATTTATCTTATTATTTTTGATTCAATACGATGATGATGATGATGATTGGCCATGGAATGTTGGTTCAATAATCGATCGATTGACCGATTTATCGATTTTTGGTACTGTCATTCACATAGAAAAAACTTGTGTGAATAATGTTCTTTCATTCATTCAATTGATCACATAATGTTGAATAGTTGTCATTGGTTGAATCGATTGAAAAAAAAATCTCAATCAAATCATCATCATCATCATCAACAACAAATCGATAGAGTTTGATCAAACAATCAAAATAATGATAAATGGATTCGATTTATTATGATGATGATGAAAATAAATGTTTAACACTTAAAATGGCCAAGAATTTTTTCTTTCAAGATTATTAACCTGATAAATTGTAAGGAAAAATAACCGAAAAAAAAGTTGACCTGCCAAACTATTGACATTTGAATATCTATGCACATTTGATGAACACCGTACACGCACACAATGTTTGTTTGAAATTTATTTGAAATTTTTCAATCAAATTAGAACCAATTTCACTCAAAATAATGAATTTAAAATCAAATAAAAGAATTTTTAATTTATTCATTCGTTCATTTCATTAATCCTGTTCACTGATTAACTATTACAGCAAGATTTCAACACCGATTTAGTTCTTGACATTTGATCTTTTTATTCATTCATTTTGTATGTTTTTACGGTTAAAAATGCATAATAAACAAAAAACACACAATTATGGTTATGATTTTCATCACGATGGCAAAAATAAAGATTGATCGATGATGATTCAAAAAAAAAAAAAAAATTCATTGAATTAAATCAATCATCATTTGTGCCTCCGGTGTGTGTGTGTGTGCCTATTCACATTTCATTCATTGATTATTTTTACCTATTTTATTTAAAAAAATTTGAATAAAATAATTGCCAATGAATAATAAAATATCAATGAATCAATGAAAAAACAGTGATTTTCAACATGATTATTCTATCATCGTACATCAAATCTTTTATCATCGGTCGATTTGTGAATACCAGGAAACAGAACAAAAAAAATCAATGATCTAGTTCTATAAATCAAAATTAAACCGGTCACCCAAACACACAATTAATCTTTTTTTTTTTTTGATTGAGATTTGATTTTCTTTTTCGGAATTTTTCCCTACAGCCATTTTGAAATGGTAATCAACATTTTTGACATTGTGGATATGTACGCTCATTATCATTGTCTTTAGGTCAGAACATTAAAATACCATGAACATTAAATTAATTAATCATTTCAATCAGGTCAAATTATCATTTGTTGTCATCATTTAGAAATGAATAAAATGGACAATTGTATAAATATGTGACAATTACACCTGATAAACACATACATTCAATTATTCTTTCTAAAAAGTGTTTATTGTTATCTTTTTAATTTACTTTTTCAACTAATTTTCATACAAGAATAAAATTATTTCATTCATTTAGAATTTAATTTACAAACCTGTTCGATGATGATCTTGATCTTTTTGTTGTTGTTGTTGTTGTTGTTGTTCTTGTTGATGATGGGTATAATAATTTTTTGTATGATAAATTTTCATTGTAATATTTTGATTTTGATCATTATTTCCATGTACTAATTGTAGTTGTTGCCATATTAGACAAAATGTCGATGTAAATAATATTAATTTGAATAACATTTTTGATAATGATTTTTTTATTATTATTGTTCTTCTTTTGGTAATACAAGATTGTTGAAATCTTTGATAATAATAATGTTGATAATTCATTTTTTTTGTTTTTTGTTGATGTTGTTGTTGTTGTTGTTGTTTGCGTAAAACAACAAACGAGGTTCAACGGTAAATAATGAAAAAAAACCAGATAAAAAAATCCAGTTGACAATGATAAAGAAATAAT